CCAATGCCATCTCACTAGCTTAGAGAGAGACAATTTCAGTTCACAATTGATCATAATGAAAGGACTAAGAGTCAAAGGGAGCACATAAACAAGTCTCTGTACCTGCTAACACTAACCGATGGAATAAATAAAGGGGAGAGTGATCCAACATGGGAAGTGAGATACTCAGCAGACTCATAGAATGGCAGATGTCCTAAATAGCACTCTGGCCTCAGAATCAGCCCTAAAGGCATTCGGATCTGGCTGAAAAGCCCATGAGAGTATTTCAGGCATGGAAAGCCAAGACACTCTGGCAAAAGATCTCTGTGAGTGAGATCCCAGTGGAAAGAACCGGTCATCAAAGAAGGAGGTACCTTTCTCTGAAGGGAGGAGAGAACCTCCACTTTGACTATGACCTTGTCTAAACAAGATAAGAATCGGAGAACTCAGAGGGCTTCCATAGCCTTGGAAACTCATGACTGGAGCATAGGGAGACTACTGATGCCATAGACAGGAGTGTCAATTGGTAAAGTCAACAACAGGAGTCACTGTGCACTTACTCCTCATGTAGGATCTTTTGTCCTTAATGTGCTGTGTATTGAGATTTAATGCTATAACGAGTACTCAAACAGTATATTCACTTTGTGTTTCTATGGGGGTGCAAACTGTTGAAATCTTTACTTTAATGTATACTAAACTGATCTTCTGTAAAAAAAAAAAAAAAAAAGAAATTATCAATTCCCAACTTGACTCTCACTGGGATTAAACTGACAATAGGTCTGATCTGATTTCATCATCATTTAAAAAATCATCTATTATTTTTCACTTTATGTTTCTGTGTGGGAGCAAACTTTGAAATCTTTACTTAATGTATGCTAAACTGATCTTCTGTATATAAAGAGAATCAAAAATGAATCCTCATGTGAATGGAAGGGGAGAGGGAGTGGGAAAGGGGAGGGTTGCGGGTGTGAGGGACGGTATGGGGGGGAAGCCATTGTAATCCATAAGCCGTACTTGGAAATTTATATTCATTAAATAAAAGTCAAAAAAAATAAAATGACCAGAAAAAAAAATATCCATAACACTCTAAGACTGAAATAGAAATAAAGACAAGGAGTCTGTGATACAGTAATTGTAGTTTGAGCTTCTTTCAGATAGAGAACTAATGATAAAGGAATTTAAAGAAATTAAATGATAACTAATAAAATCATTTAATGCAAATGGAACTCCTGTAACGTGGTTCTCACAGAAAATAACGATAAGTTGGACACCACATGTCTTACTTAGTCCAGTAGCAATTTCCCGCCATTGTCTATTTATGACACTACCTTGTAATCTTCCACTGCTGAGTTCCTCTGGCCTACCTAGGAATGGATTCCACCCCTATCTTGTCACAATCTTTTCTGATGAAAGTCATCACACCACAATCCCTTTATGTTAACTACTAGGAACTTTTCTCAGGGTCAGTATAACTCCCCATTTATCTCATTCATTAAGCAGCCAGGATAGCTCTACGGCATGGATCACGTTGACAACATGCTTCACCTTGGAATTCTCCTAGACAGAAGTTTCCTTAGCACTTCCTCTGTCCTCCCCTTCTCCCCTCCATTCCACCTCTCCAGCGGTTTCCCTTGCAGTCTGCTTTGGTGCTGGCCCTCCTGGTTCCCAGATCTCAGTCTGTCCCTCCATCTACTTCTGTAAATTTGTCCCAGCCTATGTCCTGATAGCACACAGATACAGATCTAAGTTGGGGCTACATTCTTCTGCTACACCCCTGGCCTGATGGCTTGGTCATCTCCTCCTGAAGCACATGGGAGCCAGTGTGGTGTGGATGCAGAGAGTGTGGATTCTGGACTAGACTGCTTGTGTTCACAACACCACTATCTGTCAAATATTAAGCAAATTACCATATATTTCTGGGCTTCCCCACCTGGAAAAACTGGGATAGCAATAATGTTCCCTACTATAATTGGTTGCTAGGTGAAATAAGTGAGTTTTTATATGTGATGCACTGAGACAGTCATGGCACATAGTTTAAGTTCCACACAAAAAGCCCACTATTGTTATGATGATTTCAGACAAAGCATCTACAAACAAAATTACTTTCTCTTCATCCTTATTAATTTCCCATAGTAAGACTGTTTCCCTCCATAGTCTTCTAAACCAGAAAGACATTCAATCTCTGCTCCTCTCTCTTTGTGTTCATTCAGCAAGGTTGGTTTTGCTTCTTACCTATTTCTCCCATCAGCTTCTTCCTCACCATTCCTTCTCCACCTTCTCCATTGTCTTGGGCTATTGGTTGAATCTGTAATCATCTCTTATCTGGAGTACTGCTATACACTCCTAACTGATTATTTTGCCTTCACTCTCCCCCTTTAAAAATCATCCTCTGCCCAGCAACCACAGCATTAGTGTAAAAGTAATGATAATGACAATGATAATAATAATACTCAATGTTTTCAGGCACTGTCTGAATCCATACAACAAATTGATACAGCAAATATACTTATATTGTTTTTATAATTGTGGAGACTCAGGCTTTCAGAGGCTAAAGAACTTACCCAGAGCTCAGAGCTGGAACCCTACAGTTGTAGAACATCAAGGCCTTTCTGACGGGGACTGCACTCCCTCCCTCTGCTGACCATGGTCCCTTGCTCCCAGCTCTTTACCAGCTCATCTGCTTATAGATGGCTCACACACAGCCTACTAGGCCCTTTACCAGCTTACCCCTCAGCTGCGTCTCTTCACGTTTTACTCTTCAGCAAGACCATGTTGCTATGGTTTCCAGACACTTCCTGGTGCTTCATTCCTCCATTTATTTGCAAAAGCTCTTTCCTATTCCTCCATGTTGTTGACCTAGACAACAACAATTGAGAAAAGTTATTTATGTGTTAACCTTCTAGCCCTCTGTGGCAGGAAACATTCTCCCCTTCGGGTTTCATATTTTAAAAATCTCATATTTTAAAAATTCTGTGTTTCTTGTTTTATACCACTGACTCCACTAGTAGAGAGTTAGCTGAGGGTGAGGGTTGTATTCTCATTGTATTCTTAGCAAAATCTAATTTATTGTGAAATAATTGACCTGGTGTAAACATAAACCATATTAAATGATTTCTATTCAGCTCTTCATTTTCTGTATTTATTACCACATCCATGGTTCAGGTCTTTCCCCAAGAGAACACCCATATTCTGTCTCCGTATCTACTCTCTAGTCATCACTTTTGCTTAAAAAACTCTCTTACCTACACACCCTCAGCATCTCTTATGTCCATTTGACAGTCTCTATCCTTCTTTCTTCCTGCAGATGGTGAATCTGGAGCCCATAAATGAACCAATGGAGACTCGGCCTGTGGCTGCCACCATGTGACAGAGAGGCCAATGACCTCATCTGGGGTCTGGGCAGCCAGGGAAAACACTAGCTGATCTATTAGCTGATTACTAGGCACAGGCGACATCCTAATTGTGCAAGAAGGGGAACCAATCCAAGTCACAGACATGGAGGCTTGTATGTTTCTTCACATGATGATACTACAACTTACCTCTCTCAATATTCTAACATTATTGGGAATGATAAGGATACCATGACTCACAACAAATGAACCAACAAAGAGATACTGATCTTTTTTATATTTGCTCCAAGAAATAGTCATTCTACTGACAATGAAATCAAAAGGAGACAATTTGCTTTAACTGCTCATTGACTCATAGCCTTTAGCATTCGTACTACCAATCAATACCACATGTTGAGGTGGCTGAAGAGAAAATGAACAGAAATGTTTTAAAAATTCACAGGTCTGGGCCGGCACCGCGGCTCAATAGGCTAATCCTCCGCCTACGGCGCCGGCACCTCAGGTTCTAATCCCGGTCAGGGCGCCGGATTCTGTCCTGGTTGCCCCTCTTCCAGGCCAGCTCTCTGCTGTGGCCAGGGAGTGCAGTGGAGGATGGCCCAAGTCACTGGGCCCTGCACCCCATGGGAGACCAGGAGAAGCACCTGGCTCCTGGCTTCGGATCAGCGTGGTACGCCAGCCGCAGCGGCCATTGGAGGGTGAACCAACGGTAAAAGGAAGACTTTTCTCTCTCTCTCTCTCTCTCTCTCTCTCACTGTCCACTCTGCCTGTCCAAACAAACAAACAAACAAACAAAAATAAATAAATCCCTAGGTCTGCATGTGGTCCTTTTATACTGCCTCCATGGTACACTGTACCATCCATACAGGGACTTCAAGTGTTCTTTTATTTTCTTTTAATGATTTGCAAAGTCAAAATTCCTCAAGGTCTCTACACTCCACAATATTCTGCACTCAGGCAACACTCCGAGTGAAGGAAAATAATAGACTCAGGCAGCTGTGGCAAAACTTCAAATAAAGATTTAACTTGAAAACTGTAAAACTGTCACATAAATGGTCATTTTAATTGTGTAATAATCTTGTAAAGCAACTTTGTAAAGCAACTTGAAAATATATGTCAAAGCCATTAAAATTATCAAACCCTCGAATAACTCTAGGACATATCAATAATGTCAATAATCTGAAACAGAAAGCTTTATTCACAAAAACTTAATCACAGCATTATGACAGTAAACAGCAGCAAAATCTTAAATGTCTAAAATAAGAGGAGCATTAAGTCAATTATAGCATTTACTAGTCGTGCAGATAATGAAATAAGGAGTCTAATTATGTTTCAAATCAGTCCAGTTTAACATCTATCGATTTCTCACATATACTGTAGTTTGAAATGTGTCCACCAAAACTTCATGTGTTATAACCTTAAATCCTAATGTTGGGAGCTGGGACCTAATGAGAGGTGTTTGGGTCATAAGGTTTCATCCCATGAACTGTTTAAGGCTGTTCTCGTGGGAGTGGATTAGCTCTCAGGGGACTGGCTGTGCTGCAGAGTTTTCTTGCTCTTTTGCCACGTGATGTCCTCTGCCACATTATGATGTGGCAAGAAGGCTCTAACCAGATTCCAAATAGATGTCTATGTCATGCTCTTGGGTTTACCAACCTGGAATCATGAATTAAATAAATTTATTTTCTTTACAAATTACCTTCTCTCTGGTTTCCTGTTCTAGAAACAGAAAATGGGTTAAGGCACTCATGATCCAGTATACAACTATTAAAAAAAAGATTGAAAGAGAATGTGGTAGGTGCCACAAAAACCCAGAAGCCTAACTGCCACAGAATAAGAGAATGGAAATAGAGGCTAAAAGAAGGTGTATATTGAAATTGCAGAATATTTTGGGTAAAGCTATTTATATTTTTCCCAAAAATTTTTTATTTAAGGTATACAAAATTCATCCATTTCATAAACACAACTTTTGGAACATAATGATTCTTCCTACCCTACCCAACCACACTTCCACCTTTCTTCCTCCTCCTTCTCCCTTTCTCAATCCTATTTTTTACTAAGGCCTATTTTCAGTTAACTTTATGCACGTAAGATTAACTCTATAATAAGCAAAGAGTTAAAAATAGCATGAAAAAAAACTGTTCCTCAACAGAGAAAAGAGCTGCTCAAAGTCATCCCATCTCAAAGTGTCAACTTCACTTCTATAGATTACCTTTTAGGTGCTCTATTAGTTACAAGAGATCAGAGAGAACACATGTTATTTGTCCTTTTGGGACTGGCTTCTTTGACTAAGTATGATGCTTTCCAGCTTTATCCATTTTGTTGCCAATGAGAGGATTTCAATTTTTTTCTGCTGTGTAGTATTCCATGGTAGACATATCCCATAATTTGTTTATCCAGTGTTCAGTTGAGAGACATTTGGATTGATTCCATATTGTAGCTATTGTGAACTGAGCTGCAATAAACATGGTGTGCAGATAACTCTTTCATATGCTGATTTCATTTCCCTCAGGTAAATTCTGAACAGTGGGATGGCTGAGTAATATGGCAGGTCTATATTCAGATTTTTTAGATATCTCCATCCTGTCTTCCACAGTGGCTATACATTCCCACCAGCAGTAGAGAGTGTACCTTTTTTCCCACATCCTCACCAGCATTGTTTTTTGTTGATATCTGTATGAAAGCCATTCTAACAGGGGTGAGGTGAAAACTCACTGTGGTTTTGATTTGAATTTCCCTGACAGCTAGTGATACTGAAATTTTTTTAATGAGTCTACTGGCCATTTGGATTTCCTCTTTTGAAAGTTGCCTGTTAAAGTCCTTTGCCCATTTCTTAACTGGGTGGTTTGGTTTGTTGTTGTTGAGTTTCTAGATCTCTATATATTCTGGTGATTAATCCTTTATCAGCTGCATAGTTTGCAAACAATTTCTCCCATTCTGTTGGTTGCCTCTTCACTTTGCTGAGTGTTTCTTTTGCAATGAAGAAGATTCTCAATTTGATGTAATTCCATTTGTTGATTTTGGCTATGACTGCCTGTGTCCTTGTTGCCTTTGCCAAGAACTCTTTGCTTGTGCCAATGTCTTGCAGGGTTTCTCCAATGTTCTCTAATAATTCGATGGTATCAGGTCATTTATTCAGGTCTTTCACCCATTTTGAATGGATTTTTGCATCAGATGTAAGGTAGGTTTATTGCTTCATACTTCTGCAGGTAGAGGTCTAATTTTTCCAGAACTATTTGTTGAAGAGACTGTGCTTGCTCAAGGGGTTATAGCTCCTTCGTCAAAGCTAAGTGGTTTGTAGATGTGTATGGGTTGATTTCTGGCATTTCTATTCTATTCCATTGGTTTAGCCATCTGTTTTTGTACCAGTAACAAGCTGTTTTGATTATAATCTTCTCTAGCATGTCTTGAAATCTGGTATTGTGAAGCCTCTTGGTTTGCTTTGGTTGTATAGGATTACTGTAGTGATTTGGGGTCTCCTGTATTTCCATATGAATTTCAGCATCACATTTTCTTTATCTGAGAAGAATGTCCTTGGTACTTTAATGATTTAGTGAGTCTACTGCCAATGATTGAATCTGTAAACATTTCTAGGCATAATGCACATTTTGATGACTGATCATTCCAATACATGCATATGGAAGAATTTTCCAATTTTTTGTGTCTTCTATTGCTTTCATTAATGTTTGGTAATACTCATCATAGAGATGTTTGACATCCTTGGTTAAATTTATTCCAAGGTATTTGAGTATTTTTGGAGCTCTTGTGAATGGGATTGATCTTAGAAGTCCTTTCTCAGCTGTGGCATTGTCTGTGTATACAAAGGCTATTGATTTTTGTCTGTTGATTTTATATAATGCTACTTTACCAAACTCTTTCATGAGTTCCAACAGTCTCTTAGCGGAGTCTTTTGGATCCCATATATATAGAATCATCTCATCTTCAAATAGGGATAGTTGGACTTCCTCCTTCTCAATTTGTATCCCTTTGATTTCTTTTATTTGCCTAATGGCTCTGGATAAAACTTCCAGGACTATATTGAATAGCAATGATAAGAGTGAGCATCCTAGTCTGGTTCCAGATCTTAGTGGACATGCTTTCAAGTTTTCCTCATTCAATAGGATGCTGGCTGTGGATCTGATATAAATTGTCTTGACTGTGTTGAAGAATGTTCATTCAATACCCACTTTGCTTTGGTTTTCATCAGGAAAGGATGTTGTATTTTATCAAATTCTTTCTCTGCATCTATTGAGATAATCATATGGTTTTCTTCCTTAGATTTTAATGTAGTGTACCACATTGATTGATTTGCCAATGTTGAACCATCCCTGCATACCAAGGATAAATCCCACTTAGTCCGGGTGAATGATCTTTCTGATGTGCTGCTGCGTTTGATTGGCTAGTATTTTTTTGAGGATTTTTATTTCTATGTTCATCAAGGAAATTGGTCTATAGTTCTTTTTCTCTGCTGTATCTTTTTCAGGTTTAGGGATAAATGTGATACAGGCT